TTAAGAAACCTACTGGCCTAAGTAAGCTTTATATTAAGTACTCACTTTAAGTCGTAAGGCGTTAAGTGTAGTCGTAAGTCACCATGGGTGTCTGAAGGGCAGGGGTACTACCGTGGCTGTGCCCTAAAGTGCACTTGGTTTGTTTAGGTGGAGGTTAAACGGGCTGAACCTCGGGACAGCAAAAACCAAGCACCAGGACAGGCAGGAGCCAGCCAGTGGGGCAGCCGCGTGGCACCCAGTGCAGCCAACGGCTGGGCAGGCCAGCCCCCGCCCACATGGCAGCAAGGATATGGCCCACAAGGTAAGGCTGGGACTTCACTGAAGCACAGGCCTGGTTTTGTCTCTTGTAGGGTGTCCTGGAGGTGGTGGCTACCTCCCTGTGCCCCAGTGCTGGGGCTAGCACCGTGGTGGAATTAGCTGCCCAGGAGCCCAGGCTGCAGGATGGCTCAAGGGCTGCTGAGGTGGTTCTTGAGTTGTCCTTTGAGGACTATGTGATGTCATTCTGGCCAAGTGTGTCACCTCTGTCCAGTTCCTAGTTAGCAACAATAAAAACAGGAGCTTGGCAGTGGCTTCCTAGGGGACCCGAAAACCAAGCACAGAGGCCCCTCCTATTTCCTAGAATCCCCTGTTTGACCTAGGTAGAACATGGGGCTTTTCCCACTCAGTCCTGGAGATGAGCTCAGATCACAGGCTAAGTTGATGCTTAACCGCTGACACTATAGCCAGCAGACCAGTTTCCTTCTTGAACTTTGCAGCCATCCTGCCTCAGTCTCAAAAGGGCCAGGAAAGCAGGCTCCTTGTCACCCTGTGTTCTCTCTCCTGAGTGCCCTGCAGGTGGCTCCACCCCCTCCACTGGTAATTGTGTACAGCCTCCCAGTGCCTGGCCACACAGTGCCTGTTGGCAATGGTGCGGAGAGGGCTTCATTCAGGAGGCTTTAGCTGGTTCTAACTGGTGCTGCATCTGCAAGGATTGGATCGCTGTGTCTGGGTGCTGAACACCAAGGGACCCTGTCTATGGTATTTTCCTCGTCTGGCTCACAGTTTGAGGGCACAGGCAATCCTGGCAGAGCAGGCACAGCAGTGGGCAGTTATTTGACCTATGCTGTAAGCAGCAGAGAGCCCTAAACCTGGTGCTTGGCCCCTTCTCCTTTTTTACTGGGTCAGGACCCCAGCCATGGATGGCCCTTCCCTCCCCAGTTGGACCTCTTGAGAAATGTGTGCACATGCTGGGGAGTTTCTGGGCAACAGCAAGAGAAGTCACGTCAGCAGACTAACTGGCACCTTCTCTTCTGTCTTCTAGGAATGTGGGTGCCAGCAGGACAGGCCATTGGTGAGTCAAGTGTGAGGGGGTCAGGTACACACTATAGGCCTGTCATGCTGTGGGCACTGGCTACTGGTGTTGGGAGGAGACCATGGATTTGAACTGGATCTGGGCTGCCCACCTCACCCACTCTTTGTTGCAGGTGGCTACGGCCCACCCCCTGCAGGCAGAGGAGCCCCGCCCCCACCCCCGCCCTTCACATCCTACATTGTATCTACACCACCTGGAGGCTTCCCCCCACCGCAGGGCTTCCCACAGGGCTATGGTGCCCCACCACAATTCAGTGAGTGCTACCCCAGCAAGCATGCCAGCTGTCACCCCACCTGCTGGGCCAGGAGTGGCCGTGCTCTGTACTTATCCCCCAGTGCTGGCTGAGTTCATGCAGGGGGTCTTGGATTATGGGGCCTGTGCTGTATGCAGGTTTGGGTCAGTGGTATCTAGGGAGCCAGGCAGTTGGTCAGTGTGTGGAAGAATTATGGGAAGGAGCCGACCAGGACACCTGCCCGGTGTTCCCAAGGAGCACTCCCTAATGGGGCCTGCAGCGCACGCTACCCAAGGCAGAACATTTGGCCTCGGGCCAGCTCTCTTTTGTCCAGCTGGGCCTGGACCTCATAGAGAGCTAGTTCGGGTGACTTACCTTCTAACAGTCTGGTGGTGTGATTGGCTTTTTTCTTCTGGTGCTGGGGTGGAAACTAGGGCCTCTTAGAGCCAGCAAGCATTCAGCAAGGAGCTGCACCCTGCCTCTGGTGGTGGCTAGCTGTAGCCTCTGAAGTTTTGACCTGGCATTCTTTGCTGCATGCATTACAGCCTGGTGCTCTAGTCTAGTTCCACTCTGAATAGCACGTCTGGGGGGCTGATACCCGTCCTGCTGAGGTGCCTGGTAGAATGTCCTGGTGACCCACGCTCATTCCTGCAGCTGGTACTAACAGTTTGAGCCTTTCTCTCCTATCCCTACAGGTTTTGGCTATGGGCCCCCGCCTCCACCTCCTGATCAATTCGCCCCTCCAGGGGTTCCTCCTCCACCTGCCACCCCAGGGGCTGCCCCACTGGCCTTCCCGCCACCTCCGTCTCAGGCTGCCCCTGACATGAGCAAACCCCCAACAGCCCAGCCGGATTTCCCCTATGGTCAGTATGGTAAGTGGTTGTGGCCAGCTGCTCCCAGGATGAGCAGGAGAGGTCACCAGGCTGGATTCTGGGGTGCTGTGTTCCATTTTATGTTCCCGTGCTCTGAGAGACTCCCTCTTTGGTGTAACCATAGGCTAGGAAAAGTAGTCTGTGGTGTGTGGACAGAGTTAGGGTGGGATCATGCGATTGCCATGTGTGCCGGCTGCTGGGAGAATCTGTCTGCTAATTAATGCCTTGGTGGAGCCCAGTGCCAAGGCCAGCCTTGGTCCGGTGGGATGAGTGGCCATGCTCTGCACTGTCAGTTTCTTGTGGCCCTGTGGCCTTCTGGTTGTCGGGCTGCTGTGGAAGGAACCCTGATCTGACCCTACTTGAGCCCGGCTCACCAGGCTTCTGTACTTACTGTACACAGTAGTGGGCTTCTGCCCTGGGTTCAAATCCACACTCTTACATATGCTAGGCATGAATCCCTCCCAGAGAGAGCCTCAGCCTTAGCGTGCATACGTGAACCATGGCATGTGTGGACAGCATGGGTACGTGTAGCTGGTTCTGTGGTGTCCATCATGCTTGGCAGCAAGCACCTCACCACCAGGTCACCCCACCAAAGGGCTTTGAGTTCTGTGTCTCACCACACCCAGGTTTGTTTTTTGTTGGTGGTGGTTTGGTGTTTTTGTTTACTTTTTGAGACAGGGTCTCAACTGTGTACCCTGACTGGCTTTGAACTCAGAGACATCTACCTGCCTTCCAAGAGCTGGAACTGAAAGTGTGTACCTCTGTGCCTGTTTTTTGTTTGTTTGTATTTTTGAGTTTTTTGAGACAGGGTTTCTCTGTGGCTTTGGAGGCTGTCCTGGAACTAGCTCTTGTAGACCAGGCTGGTCTCGAACTCACAGAGATCCGCCTGCCTCTGCCTCCCTAGTGCTGGGATTTAAAGGCATGCACCACCAACGTCCGGCTTAAGTCATTTTTTTAAAGAAAAATTTCAACTGGGCGGTGGTGGTGCACGCCTTTAATCCCAGCACTCGGGAGGCATGCGGATCTCTGTAGTTTGATCTCTGTGAGCCTGGTCTACAAGAGCGAGTTCCAGGAGAGCCTCCAAAGTCACAGAGAAACCTCGTCTTGAAAAAACAAAAAAATTATTTAATGTATACGTGGGTGAGGTTTGGTGTTTTTTGTTTGGTTGGTTGAATTTATATGTGCCACATGCATGCAAGAGCCCTCTGAGGCCAGAAGGAAGCATCATATCTTCTGAAAACTGGAATTAGAGGCGGTGTGAACTGCCGGGTGGGTGCTGGGAACTGAACCCACCTGGATCCTCTGAGAGAACAGCCGAGCTCTTGTTGATGGATTGACTTCTCCAGCCCCTTTCATACGTGACTATAATGTTCTTGGATCATGTTCACACAGCCTGGTCACCTGAAGTGGATATTTGAACACTGCAAAACCCTGGTGTATGTGGCCATAGGCTGTCTACATGCCTGGCGTAGTGCTCTGAGCCAGGTCACCCTTGGGTAGTTGCCCATTCCCCAGGTCTGGGTACATGTGAGTCCTAGTCTTCAGGCTGCTATTACTTGCTTGTTGTGGTTAGGCGTGGCCTTCCACCTATTTCCCTTTGCTCTGGGCATCCAACTGCAACTATCCACAAGCCAGAGCCAGGAGAGCCTGAGGCCACATGCGCTGTGCACGGTGACTTGGCACACTGGCTAGCCAGTCAGGAAATGGTGTCATCCCCTTCATGAAGCTTCTCCTGTGACAAAGATTGGAAGCATCTTGTTGAGAGACGAGGGCTTGGCTGAGAGGGTTATTGGGAAGTTAGACTGGATTCCCAGACTGTGCTGTCCTGTTTCTGACACAGGCAGCTCGGGTTGTTTCCACACTATGGGACTGAGCATCCCAGTTCCAGCTTCATGTATGGGTTGCATTGGGATTGGATAAGCTACCTGTAGACCCCAGACCTGAACACCCAGCCCCTCTCCTTGGGACAGAGTCAGGCAGGGATGCTCTGGAAGAAGCATGGGGTGGTCCCTTGTCCCCTGACCCTGAGCTAAGCAGCCTCTCTCCCAGCAGGTTACGGGCAGGACTTGAGCGGCTTCGGCCAGGGCTTCTCAGACCCCAGCCAGCAGCCTCCCTCCTACGGGGGCCCTTCAGTGCCAGGCTCGGGGGGTCCCCCCGCTGGTGGCAGCGGCTTCGGACGCGGGCAGAACCACAACGTGCAGGGCTTCCATCCCTACCGGCGCTAGCCAGGGGGATGGCGCCAGGGCAGGATTCGGGACTGGTGAACTCGTGACAATCACACACTTGGGACAAAATAAACGACCACTCGACCTGGGGGAGGGGGGGCAGTGGAGGCCACGTCTGGACTGAGGTTTTAAATATATTTCTTTTCTCTGACCCATCAGCACAATAAAAACACGTCACTGGTTCAACAACAGGGTTTAAAAAACGCCTTCAGCTTTAATTCAGAATTTCAGGTTTCTTTTTATTCTTTTTTTCCTTTTTTCTTTTTTTTCCTTTTTTGAGATTATTTTCCTGAGCCTTTTGTTTTACCGTATATTGTAAACTTTTATGTTAAAAAAGAAATATACATTTACAAATTGTGAGATTTTTAAGAGAAATTTTCTACGATGTATACTGGCTTATTTTTTAATTTAAAGCAGGGTTCGTGTGCTGGAAGCGGGGCCCTTGCTCCCGCCGGCGCAGGCTGGGGCACAGGTGGAGACTACTGCGTGCATTTGGTTTTTTGTTCATTCCTTGCTTTGAGCGGCTTGTGTGGCTGTGGGTGCCACAGGGCCCCTGGCCCGGGTGGCAATGCTGACGTCACAGGTGGCCTGGGCCCCACACAGGTGGCAGGCCAGGCCTTGCTGGAGGCTCCTCAGCAAGGCTCAGGTTCCCATTGACCAGTTTGACCCGGTTTGAATAAAGCAGCGTGTTTGGATCAGAACCTGACTGGTGTCTGCTGTGTCTGTCTCTCTGGCTTGTTTCCCTCTGTCACTCCTTGTGTGCTTTGGAGGGTCCATGGGTTCCAGTCGATAGGATTTGTCCCATTAAAGGGAAGTGGGATGGGCCTGAGCCCCCCAAATGCAGGAGACAGGGCTGGCCACATAAGAGTCCCATCTTTGGCTTTGAAGTGACATGCACCACTTGGGTATCTAGTACTTTGCATTTAGGGGCATATACCTCTGTGTGCACGTAGAGGTCGAAGGGTCTGTCAGAGCTTGCTTTGCTTTGTTCTTCCGGCCTGTGAGCCGTGTCCTCTGAACCTTCTTAGTGGCCCAAAGTGTCCTGTGTATAGTCGTCAGTCTGCCGGTCTGCACCACATACACACAGTGCAGTTCTCACAGAGGCCTGGGACTGGAGTTAAGCAGCGGCTGAGAGCAAACATACAGGTTCTGGGAATTAAACTCTGGTCTCCTGGTGCAGCTGGTGCTCTTACCTGCTGGGCCATCTCTCCATACCTTAAATACACATTTAAAAGGCATGAAGGCTCACATCTTTAATCCCAGCACTTGGAAGGCAGAAGTAGACAGATTTCTGAGTTCAAAGCCAACCTGGTCTACCCTGTCTGAAAGGAAATAGGTAAGGTTCACCGGTTAAGGGTGCTTGTTTGTCCTGAACAGGGACTCCGTTTCAATTCCCAGTGCCCACATAGGTACCTTCTGTAACTCTAGCACCAGGGAATCTGGTGCCCCTTTCTGACCCTTGTGAGTACCACAGGCAGGTGGTGCAAAAATTTTAATCCCAGAGGCAGGCAGATTCAAGACCAGCCTGGTTTACAGAGTGAGTTCCAGGACAACCAGGGCTACACAGAGAAACGCTGTCTCAAAAAAACACAAAAATCTGTGTCTGTGGTTCAGTTAGTAAAGCACTTTCCATCGCGAGTTCAGGGTCATCCTTGGCTACATAAGGAGTTCAAACCTGCCTGGGCTACATATGACCCTGTCCAAAAAACAAGACCCAAAATATTGCCTTTTGGTACCTGGCTGAGAAAGCAAGTGAGGAACATTAGCCACAGTTTAGGTCAGGGCCAGTAGTGCAAACTGCTCTGAACACCTGCATACAGCTGGAAGTGGCACCTGTAGTAGCTAAATGGGCCATGCCTGAAGAAGGTTCCCACTGACCAAGCAAAAAGCTAACCAGCTGTTGGCGTTGGCTCTAGAAGTAACAGACAAGTGAACTCCAAGGTCAGCCTGGCCTTCATAGTCTCCAGGGGGCCACTCTATGTATAGAGACCCTGCCACCCCCCCAAAATGCTGAGGAGGGCAGCTGGAGAAGCTCAACAAGTGTCTTAATTGAGCTCCAAGAGATGGAATGCACTAACCCTACAAATACATATTAAGTCTCTGGAAAAGACCATGTGTCAAAATAGTCGGGGGTGGGGTGTAGGTCCACATGCAGGGATTCCATGGTAGCTACCTCATGATACTTCTTATGGCAGAGCCTTTGTCATTACTGTCATTGTACCCGGGCTGGCTGGCATCTCCCACCCCTGCTGTTCTGTACATAGGCAGGTGTTTTTTGTTCTTGTTTACTGCAGTTAATGGCTCCTTTTATGTTAAATTGTAGATTCTCTTCTCTTTTTGGGGGGCGGGGGTGAGAGACGTTCAAGACCTGGTTTCCCTATATAGCCCTGGCTGTGCTGGAACTCGCCCAGGCTGGCCTCGAACTCACAGGAATCTGCCTGCCTCTGCCTCCTGAGTGCTGCCAGAGCTCACTGGTTTTGATAATCTTGCTAGCCAGCTTGCTCTGAGGATTCTGCATCTCCACCTCCCCAGGTGGAGTTACAGGCAGCCTTCAAGCCCACTTTGAACGTTGCCTTAGCAAGGGCCCTGACAACTATGGCATCTACCCACTGTCTCACCATGTAACCCTGCCTGGCCTTGAACTCAGAGATCCTCCTGCATTTGCCTAATAGGTGTGTGCCTCCATTCCCTATTTGTTTTATTTTGTTTTAAGACAGGGTTTCATAGGTGGGACAGTGATGGCATATGCCTTTAATTCCAGCACTTAGGCACACGGAGAAAACCTGTCTTGAAATGAAAATTTCAGGTGCATTTTATGCATGTGTGTTTTGTTTGCTTCCTGGTGCTGGAGATGGACATCTGATGCCCTGGGATTGGGATGTATGTATGTATGTATGTATATTTTAAAGACTTTGTTACACATACATTGTTCTGCCTGCATGCCAGAAGAGGGCACCAGATCTCATTATAGATGGTTTTGAGCCACCATGTGGTTTCTGGGAATTGAACTCAGGACCTCTGGAAGAACAGGAAGTGCTCTTAACCTCTGAGCCATCTCTCCAGCTCCAAGGGAGTGATATATAATTGTGAGCTGCTATGTGGGTACTAAGAATTGAACCCCAGTCTTCTGGAAGAGCAGCCATTTTTTTGTGTTTTGGTTTGGTTTGGTTTTTTTTTTTTTTTGGTTTTTCGAGACCGGGTTTCTCTGTGTAGCTTTGGAGCCTATCCTGGTACTCGCTCTGTAGATCAGGCTGGCCTTGAACTCACAGAGATCCGCCTGCCTCTGCCTCCCGAGTGCTGGGATTAAAGGCGTGTGCCACCAACGCCCGGCCGACAGTTTGTTTTTTAAATTTCATGAATATTTTCACTGCACATATGTCTGTATGACAGTGTCAGATCTCGAACTAGAGTTACAGGCAATTGTGAGCTGCCATGTGGGTGCTGGGAATTGAACCTGGATACCTTGGAAGAACAGCCAGTGCTCTTAACCATTGAGCAACTTCTCTCAGTCCTGTCCTCTGTGCCCCCCAGGCTGCCTTCAAACCCCTGCGCCACAGAGCCTCCTGCTTCTGCTTCCCCAGTATGTGCGACAAACGGTGTTAGTCACCTCTGGAGCTAGTTCCCTTATTCTTCTAACAATCCCAGCCATGCACTAAGCCAGGAGCTTACTTTGGATTTAAGTCTATTTAAGCTTTGGAGTTCTCAGGGAAGCCAGGACCCTGCCCCCTGCCTACCAAACTATGCCTACTTGCAAGTAGTAGGTGCTCAGTAAATGCTTGCTATCAGATAGGTGCACATGTCAGGAGTGTCCTCATCATCCCAGGAGGCTGATATAGGAGTATTCCTGAGTTTGAAGCCTGTCATCCTCCCCTCACCCCCCCAGAAGATAGGGTCTCAATGTAGTCCTGGTTGTCCTGGAGCTCAGTCTGTCTTCTGTATGCTGTCATTAAAGGCACATGCCATTATGCCTGACCAAGGGACATCCTTCAAGAAACCACACACACACACACACACACACACACACACAGGCGCACACACACTTTGTAGCTGGGTGTGGCGGCACAAACCTCTTGTGCGGGCATTCTGGAAGTGGAGGCAGGAATATCAGAAATTAAAGGTCATTCTCAGCACATCCCAGGTTTGAAGACAGCCCATCTAAAACGGAAAACAAGTAGGCAGTGAGACGGCTCACCGTGTAAGGCAGTTTGCTACTAAGCCTATGACCTGAAGTCAGGCCCTGGGACCTGCATGGTGGAACGAGAGAAATCATTCTTCCAAGTTGTCCTCTGATCTGCCCACTTCTTTAAAACAGATTTATTTATAGTGTCCTACCTGCATGTGTGTCTGCATGCCAGCAGAGGACACCAGATCTCATTATAGATGGTTGTGAGCCGCCATGTGGGTGCTGGCAATTGAACTCAGGACCTCTGGAAGGCAGTGCTCTTAACCGCTGAGCCATCCCGACAGCCAGACCTGCACACTGCACACTTTTGAGGTGGCAGCCTCTCCACACTAGTGAAAACAAAAGCCGGGCGCACACCTTTAATCCCAGCACTCATGAGGCAGAGGCAGGCAGATGTCTGGGTTTAAGGCCAGCCTGGTCTGCAGAGTGAGCTCCAGGACAGCCAGGGCTGCACAGAGAAACCCTGTTTCGAAAAACCAAATTAAATACAAAGCCGAGTAGGGGGCAGGAGGATTGCTGTGAGTTCGAGGCCACCGGGACTCCTTGAGACTTTGTACATGTGGGAGACAGACAAACAGACCTAGAGAGAGAAAGCAGCGGCGACAGAGACAAGAGCTCTCCACCGAAACAGCCCCAGCAAAAGAAACGCACCTCCCGGGGCAGGCTGGCTGTGCTCTGCCCTCCGCCCAGCAGGGGGCAACGGCGAGTGATTGGAAAGCGGAAGCGCATTTCGGCTGGAGGCGCGGTCTTCCGGCCGAGCTCGTGATAACTGCGCAGACGCAGCCATCGCTTCCTTTTCCAAGAAGCCACCGAAATGGTGAGTGTGAGATTTGCGCGCTGTGCGCGCGATGCA